TTGACACTGATCCTAAGATCATTTTAAGATAATTCTAAGACAATCTTGTGATTAGTAAGCAAAATTAGGAAAGAAAAATACGATAAAATATATATATATATATGTACTAAATAAAAAAGTTATAAATCTATTATGAGATCACCGCAAAATGTGATTGGTAAAATTAACCGAAGCAATTCATATAGACTCTAACGTGGATTATTTCAATTCAATTATACCCGCGTCGTTATGCTGAAAGGACAGTAATTTCTCCCGAAAATGCCAAATTTCGGGTTGCTGCGAATTTCCGTGTGATAGTCCTACGCCTATATAATTCATTGCTATGTCGATGCTAAGGTCTGTTTGAGTATGAATCAGGTAAAAAAATGTAGGCTCTGAGTTGCCTTATCCTAAGATCATTTTAAGATAATTCTAAGACAGTCTTACGATAATATAAGATAATTAGTGAACAAAATTATAGGAAAGTTCTCCCTAATTTTCCTTCGGCTTCTAAACAAAAATGGACAATTTGGGAAGATACGTTTATCCGAGTTTCGCACCTCGTTTTAAAACAGCCTCGACAATCGACCTCGATAAAAACGAGCCACGAGACTCGAATAATCGTATCACATCTCCCCAAATCGTCCATTTTTGTTCATTGCTATACTTTCGAACGAATATTCGCAGTGCAACCTATCCGAGGATCGACGCGCTCGAACACCACCCGTCTTAAACGACTCGACCTTTCTAGCTCCCCCTCCTCACTGACTTCGTCTCGAAAATTACAGTTACGTCATAATAAACCCAGCGCGCCCCGCCGGCGAGCGTATTGTAACAGAAAGCCATTTCGCCGGCAGAGTGGATAAAGCGTGGCTGCATAGTTCATCGCGCTGATGTCGGATTGCGTGCAGGCCTCTCGACCTGTAAAATCCTCAATTTAACTTGTAATGAGCCGAACACCGCCGTTCAATAATTACCGTAGAACGCAATTCCCCGGGAGTGGGGGGGGGGGGTGGAGTGAGAGAGGGAATTGAAAAGTTCTCGGGGGCCGATTATGAAAGCTCTTAAACCAGGATACGGGTCCCGGGCTCGATTCATTTCCCCGGCTCGAGATTATTTTCGGTAATGCCGCATTAACACGAAACGAACGTTTGTTGAGAACGCTGCTCGCCGTTTGACGGATCCGCCGTTTCGACAAAGGGCCGCCGCCCTGCGCGCGGCTTGCCCGAGTAATCAAGCGAGAAACGGCGTAATTTTATCGGCGCAAGCTGCGGAGGGCCTCGCCTCGGCTCGTCGGTGGAGAGAGTGGGGGAGGGGCGAAACAAATTATATTCATTAGTCCGAAGTACCCGTGTACGCTCGCGCGGAAACTTTTTCGTCGATCGCGTTCCGCTCGCGAAACTCGGCCGTATTCGATTCGTCATCAATCGCCGGGGAGAACGGATACGCAACGGCTATCGACGTTTCTCGCCGGGAAATGCAGCGTCTGTAACGCGGCCGACGTACGATTTTTATTACGCTTCCCGGCGCCTCCTTAAAAGTCGACGAGCGTGCGCCACGAGCGCGGCCATCGCGGTTCCCGCAGGAAGTCTTGAGGCGCTCCTATATCACCTCGGTCCGCGAACACCGCCGTCCTAATGCGTTTATCGAAGATCGATTCGCTCGGGGGAGATATTTGAAAAATTTCATTGCAAAAGAACTTTCGGTTGCAATTCTGGACGCCGCTGCGCGCGAACGTTCGTTCCCTCTGTCGTTTCTTCCCGGTTTTCTTTCTTTTGGAAGACGACTGATAATTCTTTTAATATCGTTGTGTTTCGTTACTCTGCGAATTGCCCGCGTCGAAATTCGTGGTTACATCGTTGATCTAATGGTTTTATGGAGACGCGTGAGAAGATTGAGATATATTGGACTCGTTGAAAGTATCGGAGCGTGGTAATCGACACTTATTTGGTTCGAACAGCTTGCTCGATTCATTCGTACGATTTTTCGTTTTCATCGAGATCTACGGTCTAGTTTTAATCCTAGACTTGTACAAGCGGGAAATGAGGGATTCCCGAGGTTATTTGAAGTAACTTCTTCCTTTGCGAAAATGTTCTCCGAGGCTCCGTTCACGAGTTATCAACGAAAAAGCGCTGACCAATGAGAGGCGAGCTTGGCTGCCGCGAGGCGGCCCAGCCAACGAGCGGTCGAAGTCCAGTTCCGCTCATTGGCTCCGCCGCGGTACGCTTAACCGGGCTCCGTCCGCTCGTTGGCTCCGTCCGTTCGTTGGCTCGGCCGCCGCGCGACAGCTTACCTCGCCTCTGATTGGTCAGCGTTTTTCGTTAATAACTCGTAAACGAAGTACAATGCGCTTGTACGCTTGTACAATAATTTTGGGTCCCCTTGTAATGCCTCGATAGTCTCCGATTATTTTAGTCTTCCTGCCGTTGCAAAATACTTCTAGTCACTTTAGAGAGAATTCACTGCAATTCTTAAATCCTTATAATTTAAAAGTTGATTATCTCGTTACCGTTATCTTGAGAATGATGGATCTCGTGGACAGTTTACCCGCTCCAACAAATCCTCGCGGAAAGATCGATGGGTCCTAGAGCCCCGTCGCTCGAAATTGTGGTAGGAACAATAGCATCTCTACAAGCGATGGCTAGATAACGTTTCAATCTCTCGCGGCGGTTAGAAATCAAATAAGAAACAAACCGCCTGCGATTCGACGATTCGCCAGCTACCAGCTACGGCGAGTTCGGTCGAATCGGGATCAAACTGTTTTGCCCACCTTCGTCTCCACCGATTCATCAACTTTCTTGACGTATCTCTCGGCTTTACGCTATTCGGCGAGGCTGTTCATTAATCACACGCGTCGCGCGTAATAATTTCAGCGTTCAAAGATGCATGCGGAGTGTTTGCCCGAGAAGGATTAATTATTCTTCTGCGCTAACAACGAGGCGGCAAAGCGGAGCGGAGGAAATTTGATAAATTCCGACATCCCGTTCCACTGATTCAGCAACGTGTCCAAAATGTATATTTTTCGCGTCTGCATTCCCCGTCCGTGTCACTATTTGAAATTACAGAGTATCGGAAAAATATTCAGTTTCACGCATTTATGAATTTAATCCATTAACTGCCAAATTTGCTTTCTTTTTATTTCATTTTTGACGGGGAGAGTTGTGTATATGCGCGAGAAGTCGTGTAACGTTGTAATTATATTCAAATTATATTTTGTTGTTATTTTATATTTTTTAAAAGAGTCCCAAATGGGAATTTGTGGCATTGAATGAAAAGGAAAATGTTTTTTTTATTGTATGAAAGATTGCAGATATTGCATTTTCGCCGAGGAAAAAGTTATTTCAAATGAAATTGAAATAACCCCCATTTCCGTATTTCGAGACATTTTTAGGATACCCTGTAGACGTTACTCTGTCCGTTAAAATTGGAATAAAATTCTGATCTCTTGTCGTCGATGTTCAAGCATTCGAGTAAATTCAGGCACGCGATAAGCATCAATTTTCTTCCCCCTCTAAGAAATTATTGAAATCGAAAAATTTCTAATCGCAGCAACTGTAATCGCTGCAGGAAATTGTTTAATTGCATAAAAAGATCTTCGATCTAGTTCCAGCTTTCAGTTTCGATAGAATGTATGCGACAAAAACGTCGCCGCTCGAAAAGGTGTTCTTGCATCGCCTCGAACATAATAAAATCGCGAGAAACTTGAAATCCGTACATTAACAGATCACTGTGTGAACTCGGAGAAAGTATATTCTCTACCAACCCCGCAGTATATTTAACAAAAAGGAAAAACAAATTGTACTATCTCGACTAAGAATTGGGCATACTAAAATAAAACATCAGTACATACCTTCTAGAACAGACCAACCAATTTGTGACTGTAATACTGATCTTACACATCCTTAAGCACATCCTAATTGATAATCCAATGTACAACTGCGAACAAACAGTAAAATATACTTATGTGTCATACTTGGAAGAAAGCAAATTGTTCAGCGAAATTATGTAGTAACATAACCTAGTGACATAACCTGGATTAAGAAGAAGAATAGTAATGCTATTGTATCACATATATCACTATTGTATCACTATTGTATCACTATTGTACCACACGTAACCTACAAATATTATCCCACAGGTGGCCGCTAATTGCTACTAAGCAGATGCGACTTTTAAATAAATAAATTAACCCTTTGCACTCGAGTGGTGACTCAGAGGCACCACTAAAATTTGTTACATCACGTTTTAAGATAATTTTTATATTAACAAAGCTTAGATTTAAAAGATTGTTAAGAGCGTAACTGTTTTCTGACTCCCAAGAGTCACTTTCATGTGCATAAAATGCATTTGATCATACAAAATAAAAATACTATAAGTAAGAAAAATTATTTCATATTTACAGTTAAAATAGCTTCGAGTGCAAAGGGGTTAAAAGAAAAGATGAACGCGATCGCGGAAGTGTAAATTTTGAGAAAGTCTGCTGGAAAGAAAATTCGCGCGTANACTAAAATTTGTTACATCACGTTTTAAGATAATTTTTATATTAACAAAGCTTAGATTTAAAAGATTGTTAAGAGCGTAACTGTTTTCTGACTCCCAAGAGTCACTTTCATGTGCATAAAATGCATTTGATCATACAAAATAAAAATACTATAAGTAAGAAAAATTATTTCATATTTACAGTTAAAATAGCTTCGAGTGCAAAGGGGTTAAAAGAAAAGATGAACGCGATCGCGGAAGTGTAAATTTTGAGAAAGTCTGCTGGAAAGAAAATTCGCGCGTAGGAATAAAACGTCCCCCATCTGGTGGCCGTGTTTCTAACCAGGAACCGATCGGCTTGGATCGTGAACTTGGCAATGAACGTTTTATAGACGGAGAAAGGTGTGGATATACGTGATCTACCAGATCCAGTCCGACGTACTTGAACTGGAAGACGTGCATAACTAGGGAAAGAGAGTGATCGCGAACTGGCATAGTCGTCGGTTTTTCTGTTCGGCGCGCAGCTATATAAGAAAGTGGATGTCTCTGATCGACAACAGACGATCTTTACGAGTGGTTTCACCGATTCGGTTCTCTCTCGCTTCGATCCCTTTGCCCATTATTCCAAAGAGCACGGTTTCGTCCTGCGAAAACGCCTAAATGAAGAGGCTGGTGAGTTTCCTCCCCCCCGACTTGCGGAACGTTATCAGTGGCAGTGATCTCGTACGAAGTTGTCGCGCATTCAGTGACGGATCATTCTCATTGGCGCGTACGGAATTGTCGGATTTTCAAGTGAATATATAAAACTGCACAACTGTTTTTTTTCAGAAGTTGTCTATTTAATCGAAATATCCTCCGTTTGCTTCGATACACTTTTCCCAACGAGACTTTAACGCACAGATGCCTGTCTTAGAGAAATTCTGATTTTTGGAATCAATAAACTCTAGATATTTTTCTTAATTTAATTCTTATTAATTTTTCAGACTGTACACATTTTCGTACTGTTTAGCTAAAAATGTTTGAAGAAATGAAAGTTGCAGCATTATCGCCAAGTTTATACTCACATAAGAAAATTACACACACACACACACGAACATCGGTTGAATTCATATCCTTACGAAATCCAAAACGAATAACAAATTGGAAACAACTTTTGAGACAATCTTCTTTGTCAGAAATGTGATTCTGGCAATGGACGGTACGACTATAAACGAGGTTATGTCAGAAATGAAACCATAACGAAGACAAAGGGGCAAACGTTCGCATGTAAAGAAAATCCGACATTTCATCTCTGCACCAACCTAAATACTTCAGTGACATTCGAGACGGTTATATTACCAAAGAATTTCTTCTTCCAGGGGATAATCGCGATGATGGCGACGGTGGTCGCCGCAGGCTACAAGGACGGCAGGATATCGCCGATGGAGGACTTTCCACCTTACCAAGGTATCCGGCAGCATCCCCCGTTCCACGAGCAACACCAGCCGTTCCGAGAGCCGCCGTTCAAGGTGCAACAGTACCAATCCTACCGGCAACGCCCGTATCGGCAGGACTCGTCGTCGTACAGCGAACAAGTGCCCGTCAGAGACTACCCGTCCAAAGGGCGGCCATTTTATGCGGACGGACCGTCCTTCAGAGACGCTCCGGACATGAAAAATCAGCCTTCGTTCTTCGCGGACGGGCCTTCTTTCTCCAGCCAGTCGTTCAGCAGGGATCAGCCGTATTTCAGGAGCGAGATCCAGGACGAGCCAATGAGCAGCCAGTACTCCTACCGGCAGGGACCTTTCTCGAACGACTTCCGGTTCTCCGATTTGTACAAGGAGCAGGATCAGCCGCCGCAATCGTTCATCAGAGACTCGGAGTACCTGAAGCACGGTAAATAGGTGACAGCAAGTCGGGAAAATAGCGTCACAGTCCTTCGCTTACGCTGCCCGACGAAATCGAACTTCTTTTCTGATTTCTTATAGTCGCTAAGAAATTCTTGTAGAGCTTCGCTCCACGAACAAGAATCCGAAAATCGAATTGCTTCAACACGTAAAGCAAATTCAAAAATATCGCGGAGGAACTACGCGGGTCGATGCTTTAACAAACTATGACGTTAATTTATAATTATTTAGAAGCAAAAACAATTAATAAATCGTATGCCACTATATTTGGAAAACTCTCTTCTACCTTTTCAGACCAATTAGAAATTTCTAACGTTTTTACTTTTCACGCGATACCGTATTTTTGTCGACAATTTTGGGTTCTTACAAAATTTGCTCGTCTTTTCTTTTTTCGTAAACTGAGGGTGATGGAGCAATTCGGTTCTCGGACAAGAAGGGCTCCAGGAGAATTTCATAGTGGCTATAGGAAATCAAGAATCGCGTCGAACGGTGTTATCAGCCGATTTCGAAGACGCTGGCTGCAGGAGCCCGAGCATAAATGGAAAAAGGTTCTTGCTGTTCAGGAAACCATGGCCTCGGCTACGTGTCCGTGCCGCCGGTCTCGCCGTACGAGAACGCTTTTCCCTTGAACGAGGGAACATCCACCACGGCGGCGCCTACCACCCCCGCGCTGGCCAGCGAACAGAAGTCATCGCAACAGTCTAGTGTCTCCGGAAACGGTCCGGCCGTCAACCAACTTCATACGTCCGCAACTTCCCCGCCGAATATGGCCTCGCACACCGCGACAATGCCGAGCGTGAAATTCGATACGGTGAGCGAAACACACCCCGCACGCCTTCCCTTTCAACGCGGGAGACACGTCCGACCGAGCCTTCGCGCTTTCCCCTTCGTTTTTCGACGGCCGGCCAACTTGCCAATTTCGTTAAAAGTTCGCGGAACACGGTGGTCGAACAGTTACCGCGGATAATTGATACTCGACCCTTTGTCACGCCCGTGGCTCGCTTTACACGGACGCGAAAGTACGCGGTTGTTCAAATATTTAAGATGGGATCGCTCTTCGAGCGAATATTTAATCGGTTCGCGACTTAATTCCCGATTTAATTCTCTTAATTCCCGTCGCCGTGCCGTTCGCTTAATTGTTACGATAATTCGGGAAGAATGTGACGAAGACAAAAGAGGCTGGAGCTAATTTATAGTAATTATTTTCATAGTGATTATTTATATTTATAACGGGGGTTTAGACAAGATTAACATTGGTCGATTCGCTTGCGATAAATGGAGTTATGATAATTTCTCCAGGAAATGCTCGGAGGTTTTATTTCTAATTTTTGCCACGATTCGAAGGCAATTCGGAGGCTACGTGACACGATTTCCACGGCCACGTACCTAGTACAGTAATTTCTCCCTAATTCGCGCTCAAATTGCGCACAAAAATGAACAATTTGGGAAGAGGCGATACGATTATAATTTAACATTTCAGTCTCTTCAGCAGAAAACAATTTCTCTTATCTTCGACAGCCACGCTACCGCCGTAATTAGCAAATATTGCTTCAGCCGGCACGATCGATCTTGCTTCGTCGAAAATCTTCGGGGTCATTTTTCTTCGGTGTGCGTGCATCGGTTATTCCTGCGAATTCAATTATAACGCATCGCCTCGGTGTTGTCCACTAATTAACTTACCGGTCGAAAAACATTCGCGATCCATCAAATCTCGCGTTTCCTATTTTAACTCGCGACGGAACCAGATTGTTTGTGCATCGAATTGAAATTTAATTTCTCTTATTCGATACGACTGAAAAGCGCTTGCGCGCAGTGTGTTTGTCTTCCTCCGCGATGCTTTCCCACTGAAATCCTATTTTTCGACGAACTTGATGAAACTTTTTAATCGTCGAAAGTTCTTCTTCGATACTTGCGAAATTTATTCGGTTGCAAGAATTAGTTCAAACGCTCAGATTTTCGTCGCATTATAGTATGCAAACCAAGTCGGCACGATAAGTGTTCACAATTCGCTTACTTTCTTCCATTTTTACGACTAATTTT